GAGGGGCTCTGAGGTTAGGTGGAATTGCTAATCAGGATACATAGGACCAAATGCTATGAAATGTGCTGCTGAGGTTTGCCTCTCTGCCTATGTACAGCCTTGGGGTAGGCTTTGAGCCTGGGCTTAGTACTGTTTAAATTCCCAGGCATGGCAGACCTTGCAGCTGTTCTTGACCAAAATCCACTGCAGTGGTCATCTCCTTCTGTAAATGGGTACGGGGTGGGATTTGAGGTCACCTGAATGCTGTTAAATTCCCTGTGATATAACTAAGCTGTCACTGAAGTATCACTATCTGGGGATCAAAGCCAGGTAAAACTTCCCTCCACTTCTGGGAGTGACTAGCTCAGCTTTGTGGGTATACTTTGCTGTCAGCTTGTTCTTTTGATTAGGTGATACTGTTGGCACTGTTAGAATGGTTGACAGATCTACCACTGTATTAATCAGCTTTCCATTACTGAGACAAAATACCTGAGAAAAATCAATATAAAGAAGAAAGATTTACTTTTGGATCATGGTTTCAGAGGTTTTAGTCCATGAAACCTATGGCTTTTGGGCCTTTGGAAGGCTGAACATTATAGCAGTATTTCTGGTGGAACAAAGCTCATGTCATTGTGGCAAAGAAGCACAAAGAGAAGAGGCAGTCCCACTGTCCCCTTCAAGGACACACTCCCAATGGCCTAACTTCCTGGTTGGATGGAACCTCAGTTTCCATCACCTTCCAATACAGTCATAGGCTGGGCCAAGCATTTGGCACATGTGCCTTTGGACTACATTTAAGATCCCAATCATTATGTTTTACCCTGACCTCTAAAGGCACATGTCCATCTCCAAGAGTCCCTAAAGTCTTAGCTCTTTGAGAATGGCTGTAAAAGTCCTAATCCAGAGCCTTTTCTGAGACTCAAGGAAAAGTCAACTATAAGAGTCTATAAAAATAAAATAGAAAAGTTACACACTTTGGAGTTATGTACAATGTTATGTACAATGGTACAGGGTAAACATACTTATTTTAAAGGGGAGAAACAGGATGACAAAAATGAGGAGGAATGGGCCCAAACAAGAATGAAATCCAAGTAGGCAAACTTCTGTATCTTCATGTCTGTCATCTGGGGCACATGGCGGCATGACGTGAGCTCCTAAGAACTTGGACAGCCCCACCCTTGTGACTTTGCTGGCTAAAATTTGTTCCACAGGCTGAGTCTGCTGGCTGCCCATGGCTTCTCTCAGAAGGCGTTTCATGTTCCTGGAATCTCTAACTTGCTGGGGCCTTCACTGAAGATTTGCTTTAGTATATGCTTCCCACCATGATGTTCTGCTTTACCAGAGGTCCAAAATCAATGAAGTCAGATGACATGGACTTTATCCTCTGAAACCATGAGTCAAAATAAACTTTTCCTCCTTATAAATTGTTTATCCCAAGTATTTAAAAAAAAAAAAAAACAGCTATGGAAAACTAACAGTAAACTGTCAAGACCTGTAACCTAATTTCTCTGTTCTCCACCCCTTGGATTTGTTTACACCTTATCCTAGTGTGGTCTAGCCGTGCCTTTTCCTCTCATGTTCCTCCTGAGGTGAGGGAGGAGGTGCTTTGAAATACTAGGGATTCTGAATATCTGCCTCTGGTTCTTCCTTCACTTTATAAAATCTCTGGTTTCTGGGATCCATACGCTCTATGGGATTCTATTTGTGGGGCACTGTGCAAAATCTGGAGAAGAGAAGGGGCAAAAAATCAAAAGTGTACTAATGCCAATGCCAAGTGTGAGCCAGATAGACCTCTAAATTTATAATGTTAGGTATTTCATTATGGGAGTAAAGATGGACTCATATTGTCTGTCTAGTAGATTTTTCATTTATTATTGTATATTTCAGTTGTAGAATTTCTTATTTTATCTTTTTGGTGATGTTTCCATTTTGTTCATATCCCATTTTCTTGGCTTTTCCATGTCTTCCTTTAGTTCATTAAGCATCTTTGACTGGTGTTTTAAAGTTTTGTCTAATAGGTCTACCATCTTGTCTCTAATGGTGTATTTATTATTTACTATCAGTAGCCCTTTTTTAAAAAATAAACCTTGTTTTTTTTTAAATTGAAAAATGGATATTTGAATCTAATAATGGGATAACTCTGAAAATCCATATTCTTCCCTTTCCCCAGTCTTCTTTAAAATTTTGTTTTGTTATTTTGATTGATGTCAACTTTCTACCTTCCATGGATCAGCCTGCGTTATAAACTTAGTCTTTTCAGGTATTTCCTGAGTCTGAACTTTTCCCTCTAAATGCATGATTAATTTGTAATTTCTCTTTCTCATGCAGTTACTTTTGAGTTTCCTAGCCTTTAATGTCTAGCTCCCCAAATTGGGGGGAAAAAACAGAAAAATAAAGGGAGAAACAAAAAAGATACTGACTCACTAACTCTCTTGAAGTTGCTTTAGCCAAAAGATGAAGGGCTTTCAACACTGGTGGAAGGGGTGTAGCAATGGCTGGCATTCATGTCTGTACTGTTCTGATGAGAAGCAAACCATAGTGATCAGAACAGAGATCCCCAACATATGAAGGACAAGGTCCCGATTGCCCACCCTGGCTCTTATAATCTCTGTACAAACTGTTCCAGCTTTTTCTATGGGCTGGGAACACATGCACAGCTTTCTCTATGGGTTGGAGCACTAGAGATGGGTAGCTGCTTTGACCTAAGATATGAAGTAAGAAATTAACTGCAATTTACTGTGGAATCCTCCTTATATAAGTAAGTTACCCATCTTCAAAAGGCTACAAAGTTCTAAAATAAATGACCTCAGATCATTGGCCAATGTGATTGTTGTCTTGGTGGGGATTCCTGGCATTTCCAACTCTGCCATCTTCTTATAATCCTTTCCTCTTTCTATCTAATCTTTTAAAGACTTGCAAATGGTGAGAGTCCAAGAAGTATTTCATAAAGGGTGTCCCAGCCTTCACACAGTCCAGGGCTCCCAGAGATACCACTTTTCCTAATCTACCTTCTTTTTCAGTATTATAGGATAAAATATGCCCCCCCACCAAATCCATATATTGAAGTCATAATCCTCAGAACATGACTTTTTTTGTAGATAGTCTTTTTGCAGAGTGATTAGATTAACATAAAGTCATCAATGTGGGTTCTAATCCAATGTAGCTGATGTCCTTATAAGAGAAAGAGAATAGGTTCCGTGGTATCATAGTGAACACTTTTGTATTCTGAATACAGAAAACAATATTACAACACACAGGGAGAAGATGGCCACATAGTAACCAAAACCAGAGGCCATGGAGAAATCAACCCTACTGACACTTTGATCACTTTGGATTTCTAGCCTCTAAAAACATAAGAAGATAAATTTCTGTTCTTTAAGCCATTCCATATATGCTATTACAACAGTCCTAACCAACTAATACTCAGATACTCTAGTCTCTCTCATTGTTGAGGTGCTTTCTCTTTCCATCTGAGATCCTTTAATACTTTGCCAGCCCTACTTCTTCTCTAATCATTATCCAGTGTCATGACTCGCTGTGTGTGAGTGATCCTCTTTCTATAGGAGTTTTTTTTTTTCCCCCTAATCTTAACATTTTCTGAAACATGCTTTAAAAAAAAAAAGATGATCAGTGTTGCAAAGAAAGGTCTCCAAGTTATGGCCATCATTACTATGGTTTGGATATTAAATGTTCCCCCAAAGCTGGTATGCTAATGCTTGGTCACCAGCCTGTGGAAGAAAGTTAGGCCACAGGGACATGCCCTTGAAGGGGATATTGAGACCCTGAACTTCTTTTCTTTTTTTTGCTTTCTGGCCACCACAAGGTGATGGGCTTCCTCTGCCATACCCTCCTGCCATGATGTACCCCCTCTCCACAGGCTCAAAGCAACAGAGCCAAGTGACTGTGGGCTGAATCTCTGAAACCGTGAGCCCAAAGGAACTTTTTGTAGATTGATTCTCTGGTATTGTTACAGTGCTAGGAAGGGTACCCTTTTCACTTAGCATCTCTGAGGACAAGCAGTGTTCTAAGTACACTAGTCAAATATATGACAATGTCAGGTATCATTATTTTATGTTGATGATAATTTTCAGAGATAACTGAGAAGGATCTTGGGTGTATGAAGTGTCAGGCCTCTGAGTGTACCAGTGGGAAGTAACATAGGATCACAGTATCAGAGTTGGAAAGGCCTTATATTATCTTGTCCTCCTGGACAGACAAGGAAACCGGTGTCCCTGAGAGCTTGAGGGCTGGTCGTGGGAATCACGAGTGGCTCTAGCACTCTTCTCTGTGGACGGCCTTGGGGAAAGCTGGTGCTGTATGAAATGTGGGGTTCTGAGTCTTGGAAACTGGTCGTAAACATCCCTCTACTTGAATTTTTCTGGTGAGTGACAGGTTCCCTGGCACTAGCCTTTCTCCCTAAGCCTGGGAACCTCCCAGCTTGTCCTGCTGGGTGCTCTCCTGATACCAGACTAAGGTCAATCTTAGTGCCTCAAAGCTAGAGGTCTACTTTTGGGGTCTGGCCTGGCTGATCAGTTTACTGTAGGGTGACAGCAAAAGCCTAGGTTTTAGAACTGAGTTCAAATTTCAGCTTTGTCACTGAGTGTCTGCAGGAAAATAAACACACTCTATGGCCTCTGTAAAATGTAGACTATACCACATAGAGTGATGGGGTTGGTTAAAAAAGAATGGATGGACAGAATTTAGCATGGTGCCTATATAAGTTAGGTCTCATTAAATATTAGTTTCCACCCTTCCTCTTAAAACTAGGGGTATATAGTTAGACTCTAGAATCTCTAGGAGAAGGAATTATTTCCTATATAACACCCAGTGCAAACCAATTTTTAAAGGTCTCATTCCCCCAGTGAAAAAGCAAAATAAGCCCTCAGCTTAGATATTTTTACCTGCTATAGTTTTTATCTTCTTTGATTCTCTTATCAGACTGGTTTCTTAGTCATTAGTTTCAATATGTCCTTCACAGATCAATGAGGTGAGAATAGGACCAGGAATCGAGACCAAGATGCTAGTTTTACTAGTTTGGAAGCAGTTTTAATGGAGATGAAAATGTTTATCAACTCAACACAGGTACCCCCAAAATACAAACCAAAATATCATCTTCAGCTGCATAGCAAATATGATTTAAGAATTTAACATTATTTGATCACAAGCGTAAATATAAGTCACCATAAATAAATGTAAATTCATTGTACAAAAATCCCCAACAACTCTTAATACAAATATGGTACATCTGACAGTTTCTGACAGAATTTCTTAAAACTTGTTAAAATCTAAGCTTTTTTATTCTTGGTTTTTAGACACATTTTAAAAAATCAAAAGAGGGACAGTAACAATAGTAGGGAGGAAAAAATATTGAACTTGTCCAGTGTTCATAAACAGGTACTGCTGGCGAGCTGAGGAAAGGGAATCTCTTCTGAAAGGAAAGACCTCAATTTACTAGGGTCAAATATCTTGAGGATAAAGTGACTCTTCCCAGAGGGTAAACTTCAGTGTTATTAAAGTAGGGTGGGAGAGATGAGTTGTTGAACTAGCAGTCTCATTCAATGGATGGGCCAGATCTCTGCAAGCAATGGCTAAGGACTTAGAATGAACGGCAGAACGTAAAAGCTAATCGTCTATCTGAAAGAGAGAGCCAACTACTGTTCCCAAACAGGACAGAGGATTTGAAAGGTTCTGGAGCCTAGAGATTCTAAGCGGGTTTTGAAGGTGTGTTCTATCACGAAGTCCTGCCATGTGGTATAACCTCTCTCTCCTGCCTCTGGGATTCATTCACGGTTGTCAAGAGAAAAGAAGAAATTGGAACAGGAAGCGGCAGTACCAGATAGAAGGATTTGCCAGCTTGTATTTCAAACCACCTTCCCAAACTATAAATGTGTTTTTTTTTTCCATTGGCTCAGAGGTAGCTCAAAGTCCAAGGCTGACAGAATGGTTTCTTTACTGCAGTGGTTCTCAAACTTCAACGTGCACCAGTATAACTCGGCTAGCTTGTGGAGAATGCCGAGGTCCTAAATCTGTACTCAAATGAGTACATGTTACAAACTCTGGTAATGGACATTTCCTTTGTTCTTCCTGAGCGGTTAAAAATGGACCATTTTAACCATGTCCATTCATCTTCTATAGGACAGGGGGGATCTTTATTGTTCTTTGCATTTTCTCCGTCTTCCTCCTTGGACTGAGGACATTAAATGTCCTACTTTATATGTTCTCAGAAGCTCAGGGCCACAGGTGCTCTTTAGAGATGATGTGCTCTGTATTGAGACCTGGGCATCCCCAAGGTTCTGCTCTTTGAAGGACTCGCCACACTTGATGAGAGAGACTGTAGAAAGTTTTGGTTCAGTCGGGGAAAATGGAAATAAATATACCCCTGTGAGAATCTGTACCTCAAAATCTAACTTGAGGAACATTAAGAGAACAGGAGACTGAATGCAAAAGATAAAATGTTCCAAGAATCTTTCAGCAGCTAGGACAAGTGGGCATTCTGACTCCCTAAAACAGGACTTCTCTTTGGGGTACATCTTGGAATTAAAGGCTTGTTATCAAGTAGGATTTTTACTCCTAACCTCTTAATTCTCAAGATGATTTTGGCTTCTGCTGCAATAACCCCGAAATGTTTTCTCTCTTGTGGGAATTTTCTTTTGAGAGATTCTGTGGCAAGAAGTGGTCACTAATTTGGTCACTGGCTAATGCTGTGGGTGGTACCATGGCTGATTCGTTCAGTGTTGCATGCCCAATGTCCATCACCCTGTGTGGCCCAGTGCTGAGTAATTGCTTAAAGAAGAAAGGAGCCATCTCACCCTTGAGTTGATGAGATGCCCTAAGAGCTTTCTGTTTGGGGCTTTGGAATTCCTGGCTGTGTTCAGAGATACTGCTTCCACATAGCAGCCCTGACTACTTTCCTAATCCAGTCTCCACCTCAGTAGGAGACAATTGTGGAAGTACGTCTGGCTTTTCTCTGGGACTTCTCTGAGATGGGAGAGTTGGGAAGGGGTTTGGGGAAGCCTATGAAAAGCCAGAGCTAACACCATCTGTCGTCATGCCACACCAGGGCCCTCTTCCTGGTTCTCTGCGGCTCTTGGCACCTGGTCCAAGCATACCCTAGGTGGGGGAATTCCTAACATGTAGAGTAGGAGGAGGTGCCACCAGGGAACTGGAAGGAGAGGAGCCAGAAGAGCTAAAGAAACCAGGACCCTATTGCACCACCGTCAGACCAGGCCCACACACCTCTGATGTGGCCACACTCTTTTCTTGGTCTCTAAGACTTCAGTCCTGGGGGTGCTGAGAAGGAGGGCACGAGCTTGCCGGGGAGGTCTTGGGAAGCAACCACAGATGGTGGGGATGGTGGGATGGAGAAAGGACAAAAGTAGGAGTTCCGAAATACAGTTGAGGGAAAAACAAAAAGAAAGCACACACTGCCCTGTTTTTTTTGTTTGTTTTTCATTTACACAATGGAACCCACCATGGAGATGTCATGGGAGAGCATGCACGAGCCCAGTCCCTGGGAGTGGTGCAAACGTGCTTGGGGAGGTTCTTATTTGCTTTCAGGTCCACCCCACACACTTTCCAGTTGGACCCCGTTGCAGGCTGACCATTGTCCCCTCTCCTGCTTCTCCTCCTCCTCCAGGTGGAGGTCTGCAGCACATCTGCCTAGCAGGTGGTGGCCAGGGATTGGTGGATGGGTGGCTGAAAGCAGCGCACATGCTCCACAGTAGAACTGTCTGTCTCCACAGATTTCATGTACTTGTTCAGGATGGCAAAAACCTCATTGTTCAAGATCTGGTACTTCCTGATCCGGTCAGCCATCTTCTTCAGGGGCTGCAGACAAGGATGTTCAGGTTAGGATGGGAGAAAGGTTGAGAAGCAAAGGGAGAGTAAGAAGGATTCAGTAGGTTGGGGTCCAGGTTCCTGATACTTCAATGATCATGCCACTCTCTTGCTTGAAGGATTTTATGGGTTCCTAAATCAAATGCTAAAGGCCCTTAAAAGCCTTTGCAAGTTTCAAAACTTGCTACAAAGTTACCATAATCAAAACAGTGTGGTGCTGACAATAAAGACAGCCTTACAGGACTGGGGTGTCATGCAGTGGTACAGCACTTGCCTAGCATGCATGAGGCCCTGGGTTCAATCCCAGCATTGGGGGAAAAAATAAGGGTGTCGGGGGGAGGGGAGGAAAGCCACATAGATCAATTAGAGGCCCCAGAAAGAAATCCTTGCACATATGATAAAATGATTTTTGACAAGGGGCCAAGACTATTTGAAGGGGATAGGACAGTCTTTCTAACAAATGGTGTTAGAAAAACTGGACATGTATATATGCAGAACAGAAATTTTTGTTACCAAAAATTAGCTCAAAATGGATAAACGTCTTAAAAAAAAATAAAAGCTAAAACTAAAGAATTCTTAGAAGAAAACATGAGGGTAAATCTTCCTGACGTTGGAAATGGCAGTGTCTTGGACATGACATCAAATACACAGGCAGTGCAAGAAAAGAGAAATTGGGCTACATCGAGTTGAAAACATCTATGAATCCAGGGACACAACCAACACAGTGAAGAAGAGAGATGCCCGTAGAAGAGGCAAAATCTTGACAAATTGTATAAAGGGGTTTATATTCATATGTATAAAGGGGTTTATATTCATAATATTTAAAGAACTGCAACTCAAAAACCCCAAAGCCAACAAAAATAACCCCCTTAAAGAGATGAAGGAATTAAACAGACATTCTTCTAAAGAGACATAAACATCCATGAACACATGGAAAGATATTCAACATTACCAATTATTATGGAATTGCACATTAAAACTACAACGAGCTACCGCTTCATGCCCATCAGCAAATGATCAAAAACACAGAAAATAAGAGAACCTGCAACTCATGTGCATTGCTGGTAGGAATATAAAATGATACAGCGATTATGGAAAGCAGCACAACAGTTCCTCAAACTAAGCAGAATTATCAGATGATTCAATAATTCTTCTGGGTATATATTCAGAAGAACTGAAAGGAGAGACTCAAACATATTTAGACACCTGTGCTCACAGCAGCATTATGCGTAATAACCAAAAGGCAGACACAACTTAAGTGTCTATCAATGGATTTTTGTTTTGTATCAACAAAATATGGTATGTGGATGCAATAAAATATTATTCATCCTTAAAAGAAGGAAATTTGACATGCTGTATCATGGATGAGCCCCGAGGACTTGATGCCAAGTGAAATAATCCAGTCACACAAGGACAAAGAGTGTTTGCGATTCTACTTGTATAAAGTACTTGGATTCATAGAGATAGGGGTGTGCTTGGCAGGGAAGAGGGAATTTTTTTAATGGGCACGGTTTCAGTTGGGGAAAATGGACAAGTCCTGGGATGTGCTATCAGTTGCACAGCCTGAGTGTACTTAATCCCTTTGAACTGTACACTTAAAAATGGTTACACATGTAAATGATAGACTTATTTTACCATATTTTTTTTATAACACCCTTCACAAGGAGGTTTCTGCCCCATTTTCCTCATCAGGTCCCTGGTCCCCACCATGTGTTCCTGACATCCTTCTTTATACCTCTGTGCTGTAGCTGTTCCCTCTATCTAGAATGTTCTCCTGAGCCTTGCAATTCATTTGTTGTCCTCATTCTGGACTCGGCGGTAAGCACTGCCTCTATGAAGCCTTCTGCAGCCATTCCTTCTCTGCCCCCTCTGCCTAGTCTGGAGGGTTCTTTCTGCTAGCAGCCCTGCCTATCCCAGACCAGCACTGTTCCATCCCAGGGGCAACTTTAGTGTCCAGTGAATGGACACATAGTTTTTGTACACAGGAGCCATCATGAATGGAGACTGCTTAGGACAGGGAAGGAGCCCAGCCCTGCCCTCCGGGTGACCTGATATAAGTGGGTGACCCACGGCTTCCTGCAGGCAGGCCCCCAGCTGCTGAGTGTCTTTGTGTACCTGTGGTGTGGGGAGTGGGCCTCAGGTGCAGCCCCCCACCCCTCTTCTCTGATGCCAGCCTTCAGTCAGGCTGGCCGCACCTCCCAGCCCCTGGCCACAGGCCTGCTCACCACATTCTTAATGATCTCGTCCTTCCCGTCCTGCCTCTGGACTTTCAGCAGGTGGTAGCAGAAGTCGAACAGGTCAAAGCGACGTTGCTGGCCCAACAGGACGATGATGGAGCAGCCAGCCCAGTTCAAGCCATCTCCAAAACACTGCCTGGAGAGGGGGGAGGAAGCAGCTGTGGTGAGAGCCAATTTCAAATGAAGAGACCCAGTGGCCACACTGGGCTGAAGGAGAGGCGGGGTGTGGTGGTGGTGGAGGCTCTGACACAGCTCCGACTGACTGTCTTAAGAGACACGGGTGATGTAGACAGTGGTGGGGACCTACCCTCTCTGCTCTTGACCTGCAGCTGCAGCCCAGTCTGCTAGGGCAGCTTTCTCAGGCCCTCACATAATTTTTCTTGGCTCCAGTGGGACGGGCCTTGTCACCCTCTCCACCACTGGCCTCAACATGGAGCTGGGTGATTTCAGGAGAAACCAGGCTCTGCTTCCTTCTTCTCCAGACAAGACTGGGCTTCTATGATAGGGTCCCGGTTTTTCACAAGTAGAGTTTTGTGGGGGTGAGGTGGTCAGTGAGGTTTTTATTTTCCTTTGCACGGGTGTGGTCTGGAGATTGAAGCCAGAGCTTCGCACATGCTGCAGCACTGAGCCACTCCCAGCCCGACAGCCAGGTTCTTAACGCTGGGCTTCTGCCTGCACAGTCACACTCTCACATTCTGGTTCTGCTCCCAGCCATCTGTTGCCTCTCCCGGAATGTCCCTTTCTTCCCCCATCAATCCAAGTCCCAGGCACTGTTGGAGGGAATTCTGTTCTAGCCTGTGAATGAAAGTCTAATGTCCCACTCCCTTCTACTCTGACATCTGTCACCCTTGCTGCAAAACAACCTCATCCAATGGACTTTACCTTTGCATTTTTTGTCCCCTCTTTGGTCACCTAAACTCCATAAGGCCAGAGCTGTCCACTTTTGCTAAGCACCGCTGTGAGTCCAGCACCTGGCATGGTGACCAACATACTGGGTATGACAATTGTTGGCCCCTTCAGCCCCTGCCCACCTTCTCAATGGGTTGTGGCAGCTGGTGGCTCACAGGGAGAGGGGCAGGTTGGCGGTGGCCCTGGCTCCTTGCAGTACTCACTCAGCTGTGAACTCGTTGGTCCCCACGGGGATGCAGTAGACGAACTGCATGGCACTCCACAGCCGGTGGAACTCCACGCACTCGTCCACATGCATGACGCCGTTGGTGGGTGGCGGGCCCCGCCAGATGGGGTCCTGCAAGTAGCTTCGAATGCGGGTCAGGATGACCTCGAACATGGACAGGCCACAGCACAGCCGCTCCTTGGTCAGCAGGTCACCTTCCCGAGCAATGGCAATTTGCTGGGAACAGAGGTTTATGTAAAGATCCAAGATCCCATTTGTCACTTCCCAAACACTGGAGCTGGCAGCACCTGGAATTCATTCACCAGGACTGATGTCCTGCCCAGCGCCAAGTGCCAACTGTATAAACCCAAGTGCAACAACAGGGAGGCTTGCGGTGAGTTGTACTTGCGGTAAGTAAAATCCAGAAGCATCCGGAGAGGAATGATTTGTAGAAACTATGACTTACCCACATAATAAAAAGCTAGGTAGGTGTTGAAGAGTATGACTTTACTGTTACTACAGCTAGTTCATTAGTGGGTAACACACCAGGTCCCTATTTTAAGCACCTGGTAGGTACTGACTATCCAATCCCATGAGGTAGACCTGATTATCCCATTTCACAGAGGAAGAAACTGAGGCTCAGGCAGCCCATGTGGGGTAAAGCTGGGATTCCATTTCTGATAGTCTGGATCTAAAGGACAAGTGAAGTGTCTAGAGTGAGGTGTAGAAATGAGGTCCATTACAATCCTACTAAAAGCACCAGCCCGCAGTCCCACTGGCAGACGCCAGTATATGCGTGGTGTGTGTTTGTATGCAGAAAACATTTTAGAAAGATTAAAATCAGTTGTGGGGGCAGTTTTTACTTTAAATACTTATGTGCAGATGAATGTGCTAGAAGGAACATATGTTAATCTTTTAAATTTTGCTACTGACTTCACAGAGTTATTTCCTCTAGTTAGAAGTTCTTCCTTGGCAATTGCAAATGATCTCTATTAATAATGTACACTGATTTCTCATCTGAGTCCTGGATCCTGTGCATCTAAAAGTCAGATGTCTAGATAAGCACATCAAAACACGCTGCAATAGGTGTTTTGTGCAATATGAGGAAAAATATCTGGGGTAAAGGTGCTGAAAGCCTTCTGCAAAGCAAGATAAACATTAAAACCTAAGGCTAAAATAAGATACCCTAGTCTGGGGAACAGAGCTAAAGAGAAGTGGCTTCTGAGATGGAGCGGTCCATAGGGACTCATGTGATCAGTTCCCTCCTGGGACATTTCCTGGACAGCCCATTGTACAGGTGGCTGGGAAGCACCTGCCTGACCTCAGTCTGAGCTCCCTCCCTGGAAGCCCCTAAAGAGGGTAGCTGCTAAGTGAATCTATGGAAGGGAATAAATCAGGAAACACCAGTGCTGGAGCCCAATATGAATGTGGGCCACAAGTATGGTTGTCATGACAACTGCAGGCAGGGTTTTTTCTTCTTTTTTTTTTTTTTTTTTTTTTTTTTTCCTTGCAGTACTGGGGATTGAACCCAGGGATACTCTGCTACTGGGTTGCATCCCCAGCCCCTCTTATTTTTTTATTTTTTATTTTGTGATAGGGTCTCGCTGAGTTGCTCAGGCTGGTCTCCAACTTGAAATCCTCCTGCCTTAGCCTCTCAAGTAGCTGGGATTAAAGGTGTGTGCCACCACACTGATCTGTGACAACCATAACGTGAAAGAAGGCTAGGAAAAAGATGAATTGGAGAAAAGTTTGCCAACCTGTGTTTTAAACACAAAGGTGAGGGAGCTTTAATTCATGGGGTTCAACTTGACACTGTAAGCAGATACAGCCAACTCTTGAGCAGAGGGGAGACCCCTCAAGTTGCTGCAGTTAGCTAGAAGGATCACTTTAAAAAAAAATCCTGAAACCTATGCATGATTCTGTTCTCTTTGGCTCCTGAAAGAGCTTTTACATCAGAGAGCCTGCCTGGTACAGGGGAGGTGCTCAGCAAATAAAGGACCTACACTTGTAATTCAAGTCATTAATATTCTCTCGGGTAAATTAACACAGAGCTCTGGTTTTCTAACTAGTGTACTATGCATTTGGTTAGCCTGAATCGGTCCTCAGGGCCTGACAATCCTGGTAAGGGAACTATAAAAAGTGGCAACTGAATTTATAAATCTACAGGCAACGTTTCAATTCAGTTGGTTTCACCCATTACAGTCAGTGAAAGATGCCTCATCTCTTTCCTTTGGAAGAATGAAAATCCTTCCAGTTCTTTCTGTGAACTATAAAAGTAATACATAGTCACTGGGTTAAATTTGGAGAAAAAAAAAATTTAAAGGTATAAGAAAGAAAATTTAAAATCCCTCTAAACCCCATTGCCTAAAAATGAACTTTAAAAAAAATTTGCTGCATTGTATATTTGCATACATAATTAACAAAATTTGGATTACATCATTGATTGCTTTTTTTAATCGAAATATAGAAGTAATTTAAAAACTCATTTTCTTCAATATTTTCAGTAGCATGATTTTTTTTATGGCTGCACAAAATAACCTTTGATATACCTGCTCTATTTAGTTCTCTATTCTTCTTGGTAATTTTAGATTGTCTACAGATTTTCATTGTTGCAGACAATGCTAAAGCAATCACCCTTACGCATAAAAATTTATGACCCTATCTCTGCTCATTTGTTGGATGAATTCTGGGGATAGAAGGTCTAATATTTTAAAAGGCTCTTGTTCCATAGTGGCAAACAAGTCTCAAAAAAAGCTAACCATGGTACATCTACCTTGGTCAAGCCAATTTCTGGTCCCCTCATCAGAGCTATCATAAAGAAATGTTCTTCACTGACTTGGGGAATAAAAAAGAGTATTTCATTTTTTGGAATTTGCATTCTGCTGATTATTGATAATACAGAAACTTTTTACTGTGTTGGCATTGTTTTTTTTTTTTTTTTTTGCAGTATTAGGGATTGAACTGAGGGCCTCGTGCATGCTAGGCAAGTGATCTACCACTGAACTACATTCCTGACCTTTTGAAAAATTGTATTTTGAGGCAGGGACTTGCTAAGTTGCTGAGGCTGACCTTGAACTTGTGGTCCTCCTGGCTCAGCCTCCTGAGTAACAGGAATTAAAGGTGAATGCCACCACACCTAGTGGCATTATGTTTTTATATTTTAAGTTTTCTTTCATGCAACTTTTTCTTTTGATTTATCTCATTTTTTCTTTTTGCATTAAAAAAAGAGCTTTATAGATTCTGATGCAAATAGCCCAATTTGTGGCTGGGTGCTATGTACGTGGGAAGGTGTTTGCCAGAGCTCTGATCCATTTCTTTTCTACAGTGAGGTCCCCCCCACCCTCATATATGATTTCTGCATTTAGGGTCCTTTGGAAGAGCGTGAGATCTTAACATTCTTCTTTATGGGATCCTTTATGTTTATTATTCATATATCATTTGCTTATTATAACAATCAAGAAAGGCAACTCAACATAATAGTGCTGGGCAATGAACCAGGTCCTCTAAATTTGTCCCAGAAAAAATGCAAATGATGCAATGCTATTCAACATTCCTTGCTTTAAATTTGCCACACATTTCCTCTGTTACTGACTAAATATGTGAGTTTGAGCAAAGGAGAGACCCGAGCTAGCTTGGAAGTTAATATTTTATTAACTCTGGATTCTATGGGATAATTATTTTAAGTTTAACACATTAATTACACATATCTGAAGGGGATTCAGCGAGGCATTTCCACACATGCACTCTGCATGAACTGATGTATCCATCCACCCTTCTCCGACCCTCAATCTCCACCACAGCCAGACCCTCGTAATCCTAACCCTCAACCTGAATGTAGAATAGTGATTTTTTTTTTCTTTCCTTTTTTTTTTTAAGTTGAAGAAAGGAGACTTATAAAACTGGCATTTCCTCTCTTGAAGAAGTCTAGGATTTTGTTTGTTGAATATTCATTTGACAAATTGAGATTTCTATCAGTCCCAAGGAAATGGCATTCACCAGAACAGGGAAAGAATTCACAGTCCCCCCCGAGTGAAAACACATGCCAAGCCTCGGGTGGAGGGGCTGGATTCTTGGAGGATGACACCAGCAGAGCAGACACTTGGCCACATTGCTGGCTTGGGGGATTTCTCCCTAAAAGGAAATCCTTTTGGAGGATCTCCTCTGCTCAACTTCTGAGGGCCAGAAAGGAAAATGTGCAGTGTCTGAGTTCTCGGGTGAGTTGAAGAACCTGAGTGCCACTGAGCTCTGAGTCCCGTTTTCAGCAGGAGCTTGGTGGCGTGCAGGGGGACCTGCGAAGGTGGCTCCATCAGTGTGACACCTGGACAGATGGGGCTCTGCAGTGGGCTCCAAATACCTGCCAGGTTTTGCCAGAAGAGAGACCACCTTCTGCCCTCTGCTGAGGATGTGGCTCCTTCTGACCTTGGTGCTAATCTCAGATAGGAATGCGAGCCCAAGAGTGGACTTCAGTCCTAAATCTTCTCAACAGTGGTATCAGCAAGCAAAACAAACCACCCTGGCTTTGTCCTGCTGTGGTGTCCTGTTACTCCTCTTTTTGAATCCTTCCCCTGATTGCCCCCCAAATGTAAAGCTTGTTTAAATCAACTTGAAGGAAAACAGAGCATGCTTCTTGTGGCCCATCTCCCCCATGCACTTCCTGCCTCCCCATAGAGTGTGTGAATTCTCTGAAGGAAGGGGGCCTGTCCTGCTCAGCTCCATGTTCACAGCAACTGGTCTGGGGTTTAATGTAAAATTAATTACAGAGCTAACATAAGTCCATTCACTTTGAAAATACTAGAACATTAGGGCTAAAGATGAAGGGTCCACCCCACTCAATTCCATCTCTCTCCAGAGGTTGTCCATGATAAACTAGGTATATCATTTTCCAGATATCTTCAGGAAAAGTGTGATTCATATGGTTTGGGTATGTGCATTGTTTAAAAGAAAAAATAGCACCATCCAGTGTGAACTGTAGCACATCTTGTTTTATACACCCTACTGTGTGTTTAAGGTCTATCCACACTGATTGATATGGCTAAATCTAACCTTTCCTTTTTATTATTGCATATTAAGCAAATGCTGAATATACTACTCTGCAGCATTTTAGGTGTTGAGTATTCCTCGCTTTACTGGTAGACATGTAGGCTTTAGCAAACAATGTTACCATAAGCATCTCCTGTTTCTGGGAGTGTTTCTCTAGCAAAAATATCCAGAAATGAACTGAGGACTCAGAGTGTGCTGTCTTAATTTTTCGTGTAGAGGACTTCTTGATGCCTTACAGGGGTGTGATGGGTCCTTGTCTAAATGACCTAGCTTCTTCCTCTCTTGGCAGAGCACATGATACAGGATGAAGAAGAAAGAACTCAGTCTGCAAATTTCATTCCAGACCCGTTCCTGCCACTAATTGGCTTTGTGGTATTGGACATTTTCCTTCTCTGAGCCTCAGTTTCCCTGTCTGTAAAATGAGGAGGTTGGATCCAGTGCTCTCCCTCTAACGTTCCTGTTGGTCCTCAGAGGCTTGGTGATAGGTTCTTACCTGGGGCGTCCCCAGGCGCTCAATCAGGGGCACCAGGTGAAGTGGGGCATACTTGGCTTCCAGGCGTTTCATCCGGACTTCTAGTCGTTCTCCCTCTGCAAAAGGAGCAACCGAGCAGACTTGAGATTGGGCCACACTGGGTGACGGGGAAGGAGTAGCTCAGGGGACTGGATGATGTGTCTGTATTCCAAACTTTGAATGAGGCAGGTAGAACTTTCTCCTTGGTTCTGGAAACTGATTAGGAATCACTACAAAGAAACGATTTTTGTAAGCTGTGTCCAATAATGGAATCATGCTCCCCATGAAGAGGTGAGATCCTCAACACTTGAGGAATTTAAACCAAGGATAGGTAGCAACATACTTAAGGTAGTCTAGAAGGCAGAAGGCCTAGAGTGTCACTCCTAATCCTGTGATTGTTCGACAGGTGCCCAATGTGACCTTCTCTTTCTGACTGCAGATCTGAGGTCACTGGGATTAAGTGATCAGATTCTGCCAGGTTTGGTGGCTCATGCCTGTAATCCCAGAAACTCAGGGGGCTGAGGCAGGAGGATTGTGAGTTCAAGCCAGCCTCTGCAACGTAGCAAGGTACTTAGCAACTGAGCAAGATCCCGTCTCCAAATAAAATTCAAGAAAGGGCTGGAGATGTGGCTCAGTGGTTAAGCACCCTTGAGTTCAATCCCAGTTTAAAGAAAGAACGATCAAGTTCAAAGGCAAGCTTGGTCTTACCCTTGATGTAGACTCTGGGCAAGATGTTTTGGAAAGGTGCAGCATGGAGCAGATCACAGACTTCTTCCTGAGACTGCAGGGATGGAGGGAAAGAAAGAGAAAATAATTTTAAACTAGAAAGAATTTTCATTCCTAAAACCCTGAGCATTAGAGTTAGCCAGACAGGGATTCAAATCCTGGCTCTTGTACTTATTAACTGTGTAACCTTGGCAAATTACTTAGCCTCTCTGAGTCTATGTATTTATCAAATGAGGATGAGAACAATACTTACTTTAATGGGTTGCTGTGAGAATTGAGAGAATGCATAAACTGGTAGCAAAGTCCCAGGCACATACTGAAAGCTCAATACATTTTTACTATAATCTTTTTTTCTTTTAGTTTTTTATTGATTCATTATAATTATACACAATAGTGGTATGTGTTGTTCCATTCTCATACATGCACATAACAATTCATGTAGGATGAATGACAGGGGGATCAGCGATGATGGATCCCAGACATCCTTTGTCTGGTTGTCTGGGAAGTCTGCAGGATTAAAGAAGGTGGCTGGGCCAATCTGTCCACCTATAAATCCAGAAAGGCTTGTAAATTCCCGTATCAGATTGGTTTGGTTTTCTCCACACCAGACACCAACTATTGAGAGAAGGGAAACTAACACCCAGGTCAGGCAAGGTTTGATGGGGACTAATTATGCATAAAAGTCAGCTTAGAAGCCAAAAAGTATGATTCGGGCAAAGCAGAAGACAGGCTAGTGGGCTTATTGCTCTGGGGCTGGCTCATGGGCTCATGATCACAGGATTTCAGAGCACGAGTCAGGGTGGGAGCCAGAATGGCCAGCGCCCCACTGGGGCTTGTGTTCCATCTTTAACTCATGGGCGCTGGGATGAGGTAAGATCCAGGCTCCATCCAGTTCTGATTCCATTTCCTTCCTTCTGCTTGATTTGGGGTTTAATTTGTTCTTTCTCCAGTTTGTGAAGGTGGAAGCCTAGATTCTCGATTTGTTACCTTTATGCCTTTCCAAATATAAAATCCAGGTTATTTTCCCCACTGCCTCCAGCAATGAAGAACCCATTCTTTTGGGTGCAGTCAGTCCATTTCTGGACAATGCTAATGGCTGGAGACTTTAGTTTGGTGTAAGCAAGGCTGCCTCTGGACTACATCATCTTTCTCTCCCTCCCTCAAAGCTGAGCCCCTTGTTAGAGAGATGGAGACATCCCTCTCCATTCCCTAGCCTTCCCCTTCCTCCTCAGCAAACAGAAGTATCGTGTGCAGGCACACCACCGTGGCACAAGGGCTCTGGATACCTTCCCCTCGTCCTGCATGGTGACTCTGAACTGTCAGGTGCTGTCCTCTTAAGCCACCGTACGTGGCGCTGTGTTCTTCTATCACTTAGGTTTCTCCTTTTTAGCCTCTTTGCAGGTTTTTACTTTTGACCATCCCTTCAATACTGGTTTTCTTAAAATACCTTAAATGTGGGTTTTTACTCCACCCACCTAGTGTATCCCACCAACTCCGGTGACGTGATGACCCACTCATTGCCTGTGACTTACCAAGTCTATATTTCCACCACGTACGTACGTACGTATGTATGTATGTATGTATGTATTTATTTATTTATTTGCCAAGTTCTAGACTTGCATACTCAAGGGCTCCTGGCTGGCTGTCCCTGCCTGGATGTGCCATAGCTCAACATTTCTAAACCCGACCTTCTCCCATCTGGGAGTCCTTGCCCACAGAATGGCGCACTCCTCAATTCATCTGCCCATGCATGAGCCTGGGCCTTGTCTTCTTCACCTCTTCAGACCAGCTAGTCTGTGTCCTGGTGTTTCTCGTATCTCTTAATTCTTTCCATGTTGACCATCACAACACCATGAGCTCCTTAAGGGGACGGATGGTGTCTCTCTGCCTCTTATTCCCAGAAATAACATTATGATATGCCTAGCATACCCAGTCATTAACTGAATATTCTTACCCCATAAGTGTTTCTTGGATGAATAAGAGAATTTGTCTCTGACAGTCCTCTGAGTTTGAACTTGCAGCTCTCATATCTGCCCGCTTGTTCACCCAACAAGTATTCACTGAGCACCAGGCACTATTCTAGGCTTTGCCAATATGCTGTCAAACAAGTTAGACTAGACCTTTGCTCTACTGGAATTTAAATCGATAGACATATATAAACAAGTAAACAAATGATAAGATTTCAGATAGTGGTAAAATAGGGTAGGGAGTGGGCTGGGAGTGAGGAAGGGTGGTTGGGAAAAAAACTTTAGGGGGCAGTAATATCTGAATAGAGAATGGAATGAAGTGAGGAAGCTCCCTGTATGGAAAGGGCATTTCAGTTCAAGGGCCCTGTGGTAGGGAATAAGCTGGACAATAGTGATGAAAGCAATTATAGTTCACAGAGTAGGAGGCCCTAGGGTAGGGAGCACACAAACCACGTGGGGCCTGCTAAGCAGGGTACAGAGTTTGGATCTTATTTTAAACATAAGGAGGCGCCTCCTGGAGTTTAAGTTGTTCTAAGCAAAGTTCTGCCTCTCACAGCCACACTGCCAAGTTTTCAGTCGCTCCTAGAAGGTTGGCCGTTGTGTGAAGTATCAGCTTTGGATTCTGTGAATATCCGTTGATCTGGGGACAGGAAAGAGAAAGCTCTGGGTCCTCTGCAACCAAAGCAAAGTGGCTGCTTTCTTCATTTTTCACGATGAGCTTCTACTTCGGATTTCTTTTGGGGAGAAAAATGCTGTTTTACCAGCTCTGAGCCCATCCCCCACATTCACAAACTGCAGACCCAAGGTTTTCTGGTGCTCTGAGCTGGCGTGCTTCCTGCGTGTTTTCTAGGATGCCATTTGTCTCAAAGAGAAGGATGTGGCCTCCTGAGAGAGGTGGGGACGCATTTGCCTCGAAGGTCATTTGTGTCCTGAGGCATCTAGCTACACATGCTGCAGCACCTTCCTTGGAGGGTGCCTGTCTGGCATTCATTAGCTGAGATCATTGCCACCAATAAAAACGGCCAGTGGGGACACACAAAGAAAGGCCTGTGTGAGCAACAGGAACAAGCTGCCATTGTGGGAGCCGGTGCTAATGGCTGACCTCCTCTGTCTCATTATCTTAGAGAGACCCCACCCAGGGGAGGGTCCACTCTGCCCAGGAACCTGCTGGAAGGGGCCTTACTTGGCCTCTGAAGCCCACTCAGCACTGGTTCCCTTCCCTCTCCTCGTCCCTGTGCCCCCAACTGGGCTCCGATGGTAGCTTTTTGTCATTCAAACTGGCTGCCCTTATGTCCATGAGGGAATCCTTGCCCATGCTGTCTGTCTGTCTCTATAGAATGCTCCTTATCCATCTCTTCATCCCTACTCGTTTTGCTTAGCAATTCCCTTCTTTCAGATCTCAATTCAAACATTTTTCCAGAACACTTTCTGGACACCCCCCCTCCCCAATACCTCCCTGTTCATGTAGGTTTCTGTTAAATGTCCTCCAAGGAGCAATGCTTTTCCTTGTCAGCATTTGAGATCAATCTATATCATATATTCCTCTGTGGAACTGTCTAATATCTATCTTCCCTCATTGGAATTTAACCTCCATAAAGGTAGAAATGAGGTTCATGTTTTTATTATATTTTATTCCCAAAGGTGAACACTATACCTGATATATAGTAAATACTCAAATATCATCTGGAATGAAACTTGGGCGTCTGGCATGTAAGAAGAGATTCTGTTCTCTCAATTCTCTATCTTGTATCTTCCTACATCTCCTTGTTAATGAGACGAGTATTTTCTCTTCAACTTATTGATTACTCGGTATGAAGTGTATGAAATATTTTTTAACAAATGCTCCGTGTCATGGGATTTTCAGCTGTTTTTAATTTTCTATCCCCCTCTCCTCTTCTTCCTACTTCTTCCTACTTGTAAGCATTCACTGATTTCTACAGTGAATGTTACTTCAAAAATGTAGTCAAAAAAAAAAAAAAACAAAAACAAACAAAAAAACCATACCCTCAAAGCAACTAATTCTTAATTTTAAAATCAAAAGCTTTTGAAGTCCTGCTTCTGAAATCAAACGGAAGGAAATTAAATCCTAGCCGGCCACCTTGTCTACAAACAACTATATTTGCACAGGTTAATGCAAATATCATTGTTTCTTTGTTTTAGGCTACATTTAAGGATAAATCACAGATGTAGAACAGAATATGAATATTATTTAAAAATACAGCTTGATGATATAAACGTGTTAGCTGACAGGGCGTCGGAGGTGGAAGAGCCAGGAGTGTTAGTTTTTTCAGTGTTTCAGTCTTATCCTGGAAAGGAGTCAAGGCACTAAATCTAATTACCAAAAGAAAGAGGGGAGGTGTAAGTACATTATCTATGATTACAGGAGGAAACAAAAGAGGTGAGGAGTACTATAATCAAATGCTGAGAGGAAGAGGGGAGAGAAAGAAATGAGCTGAAATCCCATCATTCCCACCAGGGAGTCAATAAATACCATCTAAAGTTGCTAATTATGAAATAGAAGTTATCTCTGTCAAGTGCTATGGAAATAACCGGAAGAACTGGAAAGAAGTGATAAAGACAGGCTGTTTCGGGGCTTGGGGTGTGAGGGGGGAGAGATGCGTTGGAGCCCAGAATGATGTTTTTCATCATAAGCTCATTTGTACGAGTTGATCTGTGATCCTGTGTGATTAATACAGCCTCTTCATTCTGTTTCAATGCAACAGAATGAAGAGGCTGTATTAAATGGTCTCGAAGGGTTCCTCCCTAGAACAGAGTCGGTAACAGCATAATTGCTCTGCTCTTTGGGGAAGTGGAGGCAGTGAGCTCTCTGAGCATCAACTACATGACAGGTGCTCTATACCTGTCGTCTGCTTTACACTCTAGAGCATTTCTGGGAGGCAGGTCTTCCTGTCCATCCTGTGGATGAGCAAATTGAGGCCCTATGTGGTTTCCTAACCAGCCCCACCCATGCAGGGAAGGTTTGAATGTCTCCAACAAAATTCATGTTGACCCAATCCCCAAAGTCACATGTAATGGAATTTGGAGGTGGGATCCTGGGGAGGTTATTGGGCCAGAAAGGCTCTGCACT